GGAGGCGGCTGCTGATGAGCCCGGTAACACCTCCACCCACGTCTGTGTTTTTGGAATAAATCAGGCTTCGGTGTAGGTGTTTAACCTCTGTAGAACAATGGCCTGTAGCCCTTTGTGTTTGCAGAGAGTGTCACAATGATGAGCCAGCTAATGATACACACATCACAGCTCCCAGTTACGAGATAGTAATTGGGTTTGTGTCGAGGCACGGTGACCGAGCTCAGTCGAGCTCAGAAATGACGATACGGAACGGTTCAGAGAGCAGCTTGTTGTTTGAATACGGAGCAATCTGGTAATGGATGTCAGTCTCGTGGAAGCGGGGGCTTTAATATAATAATGTGTGATGAGCCGAGCCGAGGCCCTCCAGCAGAGGATTGTTATTTACATCAGACTGAGACCTTTTCAAATCCAGAGACATCGCAGTCTGGCACTCGGAAATCTAATTTCTTTGTTGTTTTCATTTTCCTTCGGCAGCTTCCAGCTGTTGCAGACCAAGTTATGACTTACACTCTAAACCACTTTAATACTGGAGAAAAACAAAATCACCTGTTGGACGTTTTCAGAGCCACCGTGTGGGTCTCTTGATGTTTTCTTTCAGGATTAATGTGATAACATTCAACAGACGGTGGAATCTGGTTCAAAAGCAGCCGTGAATGTCAGAAAGCTGTGGTGGCCGTCACAATCAAAACGACATGTACCAATAATTAACATGAATAAAACAAGAACTCAAGAGGCACAACAACCAGTTTATACTTAGAGAGGATACATGTTGGATGATGTGTTCAGCATTTCAGTAGAGTATGAACAGAACTATTAAAGACCAGAGTGCAACACTGCCTGAGACCAGCTGTGTTCAAATAAGGAGATCAGTATCACATTATAATGTGAAAAGTTTATTGTTATAACAGAAGACATTCATGTTATTAATACATACAAGCTTGTCCTGTTATAACACCATACAGCCCTGTTTATCTTGTTACAACTTGACAACTCATGTTTAACTGAAGAAAAGCTGTGTGGAGACCTCACTGGAATCAGTCAAAGTTACTTTATCGTCAGTTCTGCTACACGTGTACACATGCAGAGAACTGAAATTGCCTTTATCTCAAACCCTCACTGAAAGAAAAACACAAGAAAAACAGAGTTGAGAAATAAATATACATACTAAAAATAATATGTAAGCTAAACATATAATACACTAAAAATATACAATCTAGAAAAAATATAAGTAAACACAAAAGAGAACAGACGAATCTGCATAGGATAGTAATAAATTACAGCCCAAATGCAGCCAAATTCTAGCAGGAGTGAACTGTTTTTACAAAATACTTGTGAAACTGTGAAATCTGATGTATTTTTAGGAGCTAAAAGCAAGAATTGTTGTTAAAAGCAGGCTGCTGTAAAAACTGAGGGTGTGGAATGAACAAAAAAAATGCTCACGTAATAGTTCACAAAGAGCTGTTTAGACTGATTTACACTTTACACTGATGTCCTGAAATGAACCATTAAAAAAAGTGTTCTTTTCTTTCTAAATCACAATCAGAATCAGATTTATTGCTAGGTATAGTTTACACAATACGAGGAATTTGTTCTGGTGGATTGGTGCAACAAAATATATTGATTAAACTGTCATTTACTATTTGTTGCTGCCTTTGACCAAATGTTCCCAACTATGGAAATATAACTTACCTTATCCTTTATTATTAAGGCTGTTTTTGTGATGAACACATTATTTTGAACAGTTGTAGATCTCATTCCTGGATCATAAAGATTAAAAACACTTTGTTGTTTATAGTAAATATATGTGTTATTCACAGGATCTACATTTGAAAAGCAACAAAATGTTGTCGTGTACAGGCAGCTACAGTTAATGTTAATTACAGTGGCAACACAACAAGTATTAAATAGTAAACATCTTATTCCATGGTAATCTATTACACAGTAAAATATCACTAAAAATACAGTAAAATGCTGGTGACCACAGCTGCCAGTATTTTACTGTAATTTTACAGAGAACTGTGTTCCAGTGCAGTGGGTTGAACCAGGGTGACAGTCTGTCTGCTGGTATTGATCGTGATGACGATATTGTGATAAGAGCCTTTAGTGCTCCTCTAGCTGATCAAGCAGAAACGTAGATATCTCCAGAGGGCTGCGTTCATTCTTCCTCCTGTACGCCTACAGCCCCACATCCTTCCTGTTAATGCAGACATCATAGTATCGTCAGAGTATCACCTTATAACAACACAAGCTCTCATGTTCTTTAAACGGTTTATGTTCTAATGAAAAGTTATCATGTCTTAATGTTGTAACGTCATGTTAAAGCAGGATTTTTTTTTAATCACGTAAGTTGGTAACGTTTTCTTTTTCTGGTGTGGCAGCGACATGCAGCAATAGTTCATAGTTCTGCCTGATTTATGACTCGAAGCTGATTATTAATTATAAGTGAACACATCTGCTGCGTCAGCTTTATAGCGATAAATTTAGATAATCCCATAACCTTTTTATTGGTTTAATTGTTTCAACAGTATTCCAAAAAGAACACTTTACCATTCTGTTCAACATTTTTTATTTCAAAATCACAGTCAATCAGCGTTACTCGTCTGCAGTGGGATGCATACATTCAGCACACATAAAATAAGGCGCGCACAACACAAAACAGAAAAGTATTCCCTTCAAAAGACTGAAAATGAAAGCATTCTGCAAGTTCCAACCTTTTCCTCCTGGAGTTTCGATGGCAGAGAGTATAAAGGAGTGTGTGAACGTGTTGGTTTCAGCTTGTTGAAGTCTGAAGAGACACCAGATGGCACAAAGTGAAGCTGGGAACAATCATGCAGGTGGATTCTGCTTTCTTATATAACTGCTTGTTATAAAGATCCTGCGGTGTTTCCTGTGCAGTATCAGATATGTTGCTGCAGATATTAACCACCTTGTTGAGCACGTTTTTTGTGTTTGACCTTGAGATATTGATACCAGCAGATAAAAGAGAGAGAACGAGCACAGACTCGATAAAAGATTGATTAAATATTATCATCAGACTAAAGAGATGTTGCTGGCTGTTTGTGTGCACCACGTCTGTTTGTTGCTGGGCAGTGACAAGAAGTGTGCCACTTTTAGAGAAACATTAATATCTGACTTTATGCATGACCTAAAACCCTATTTTATTTATTCTATTAATAAACCTTGAGTTGAGGCAACAATAACAGCATCTTATAAGAAAGCTGTCTCCATCAGTTGGACAAATACACAAAAACAACAACAAAGATGACTGGGAATGTCATGGCCATGTCATGGAAAATCACCACAACTGCACCGTTTCTCAGAGTAAGAAACTGTAAACAGAAGTAATTTTCAGATTTTCCACTTTCTGATGGTCGTCATGAAAATCAAACAAAATCAAAGTTTAAATTCATAAAACTGTAGGATCTTAGTCATTATATTTATCGTTTGGTAAAGTTGTATCTTATATCATTTTTGTAGGGTTTTAATTATAAATATTTACATCATTAAGCTAAATTCATTTAATCATTAACACTCAGGGGTGTCAATATCAATATTTAAACTCGTTAAGTTGATTCGTAACAGCAATCTTATTTTTCTACTAGAAAGCAATTTGATTGGTTTAAATGTGCTGCATATATAACTGTGACGTTACTTAACTTAAAATTGTAATATGTCATTAAAATCACTTTATTATACACACATAATCCAAAAATTCACCAAAAATATTGTGTTTGCATCAGATTCAGCGAACAATCTTAAATGTTGCACTTCTGAGCGCATTTGAAAATCCGTGGCTGATCAACCTGTCACCGCACATGACAAGCCTGTAGGATGAACAGCAGGTTGTGTTTACACAGAGCAGAGAGGGAACGACAAGAGAGACTCAGAGGAACGTAACAAATGCAGCAAAAACAAAGGAACAAGTTGTTGGAAGATACATTCAGCATGGTCAGATATGAATGTAGTATTTCTAGAGTTAAAGCAGGAGCCCACATTCATTCAATGTTGGTAACACCCGTGGGTGCTTGGAAAACTATTGTACACGTTGATTCCATTTTTTCCCCCTAAAATAAATAATTGAAGACATTCAGCTTTAGCTTTTTTATGTATTTTTTTTAAAATTTCTTTTTAATGATTTATAGCGTCAGCTATACTGCACAAAAACCATCTTTGAGTTCTCTCTACCTCTGGTTGTGCTGTTTCCATTGAGGTGCAGAACTTTATATTGCAGAGAGAAATGATCCCACGGGTGATCAAAAATACAAAAGGAGGGGCGCCCCTATAGGTTGAGCGGGTGACCCATGAACTGGGGCTGTAGTTCCGTGACGCAGTGGTCATGAGTTCAACTCCCGCTCACGACAGTTTGCTGCTGGTCTTTCTCCTCACTTTCCTGTCCCACTCTCTCACTGTCCTTACTACTAATAACAAAAAGGCCAGAAAAAATAATTTTAAAGAAAGGAGGAAATAGCAAAAACATCCAGAAACTAGAACCAGACAGGTACCAATATGTCTATGTGGTTTTTGTTGTCGTTGTTTTTTGCATCTATAACTGCATCAAGCACAGAACTTCTAAAAAGACCATGGAATTGTGTTGTTGTTTATTTGAAATCAGTTCAAATTTATCAGTCTTGTTGCTCTCCTTGTTATCAGTTAGAAAAGCTTGTCTAGCTTGTTGTTATTTGGAAATTAAGTAGCCTCTCACTGAACTGAAATGAGACACCACTTCAACACAAGCCAACATTTGAAGGTTGAGTTTTTGTTTCCTTCTCTCTCTGACATCGCCCCCTACTTTTCCAACTCCTCCACTGCAGGTTTCACTGCTGCTGCTCCACCCGTCAGAGCTCCATCTGAACATCTCCTCACCAACGCTCGTGCCATGCAGGAGGTGTAGCCCTCCTCCTCCTTTTTTTCTTTCTGCACCATCAAGGAAACCTAAACAAGGAAGAAAAATAAAATCAAGAAAAAAAAAAAAGAAAAATCTCAACCTGTAACACGTCAAGATGTCAGACCCCGACCCCTCCTCGCCGGCGGACCCCCCGCTGCCTCTCGCCTCCCCGCGCACTCCCCTGCAGCTCTCCTTCCCCTTCCTGAGGGAGGGCAGCCGGGTCTGGGAGAGGGAGAGGAAACCGCCACAGCCGGGAGAGCTGCCCAGCCCACTGCCTACCAAACGTACCCGCACGTACTCAGCGTGAGTCCGAGCCGCCCTTTTTATACTAACTATCCAGAAATAATGTGCCAAAGTTATTGTGGTAACGATTTATGACGCACCCTCCTCTTGTCTCTCTGTTTCTGTCCGTCTCTTTCTCTGCAGGACAGTGCGAGCCAAATCAGGTCCTGTATTTAAAGGGGTGTGTAAAAACTTCTCCAGGTCTCAGGGTCATGGATTCATACGTCCTTCTCATGGAGGGGAGGACATCTTCGTCCACATCTCTGAGTGAGTCACGTCGCTGAGCAACCAGCTGGTGAATCTGATCTGTTTAGTTTACAGACATCAGTTTTTACCTGACATCAAATGGTTCTGTGGAAGTTAGAATATAGTTTGGATGGTGGAGAATGCAAGAACTGAACTTTTTAATTCATTGCGCAATGAACTGAACAACCACAAATCAGCAAAGTTCAAATGAGCTTCATGCAGCAAAAAGCGTGACCTCGTTTCTTTACTTTGAGTCTGTGTAATTTATGCCACATTTAAAACATAGCAGCCAGTGATTCACTACATATACTCACATTCACATTTGTGGCATAAACAAGTGATGAAAGGGATGCTAATGATGACTTTCAAGTGTTTCTTGTTTTGTTTTTCATATGTAAAAAAAAATGCCAAGTTCAAAATTATTCATATTACTAAAAATGGCTGCAAATATGTTTGAAAATGCAGCTCCCAGCCCATCTCTACAGTGTTCTAGAGCGTTCTAATACAGGATAAACTGAGAGCAGCTGATGCAGCACTTCTATTGCCAGTTAGTCATCGATTGCGAGTCATGGCTAAAACCAAAGCGCTCAGTGAGGTTGCTATTAGCGTCCAGAGCTGACAGAGTGCTCACAAGATGGGGAAACGCTATAAAGTCATATCCAAGTGTTTTCAAGTGCCAGTGCAAAGAATATTCAAAAAGTATGAGGAGTTCCACAGTGGGAAAAATCTCAGAGGGCGTGGTAGGAAGTCAAAAGTGAGCCCTGCAGAGGCAAGAATGGTAGAGGCCAAGAAGAAACTAAAGATTAACATCAAGAGCATCCAGATGAATCTGAGCGACTTTCGTAACAACATCTCAATCAGACTTTCCAGCAGACATTGAACGAGGTCTCAATAGAGCCTGTTCAAAGTAGACTCCACTTCTCCAAGACGGACACACAAAAGTTGAGCTGGATCATAGAAGAAAGGTTTTGGTCATTAGTTGTCTGTTTAGATGAAAAGTGGAGCTGTGTGGACACAAGGATCGTTTGGTGATAGATAGGAGAAACATTTAACCCCAAAAAACCAGCATCCACTCAGTAAGCATGGTAGTGGGTGTTTTTTTTTTTTGCCTTCTCAAACTGAACGGCATCACAAGAAAAGAGGCTTAAAGATTCTGGAGGAAAACAACAGACAAATCTGCAGAAAAGCCTGCTGGATTAGACCTTCCAACAAGACAGTGATCAGAAACATGCAGCTAAAGAGGTGAAGAAATAGTTCACAGGAAACAGTCTGAACATGTTGGAGCAGCTCAGCCAGAGTCCTGAATCCCATCGAGAATCTGTGGACGAAGTGAAGACAAGAAGACCTGGAGATCATCACAAAGAGGAGTGAGAGAAAATCCCAGTGGAGACATGAAGAAAGACTGTGAGCAACTCTAAGAACTATGTGGTGGCAAATGAAGGTGCTGCCATTAATTGCTGAAAAATTGTCTGAATATTGTTGGACATGGCATTTGGAGGAAAAATGGGAACAAAAAAAAATGGAAATAGTTTAATTTCCTACCATCTTTTGCCACTTGTTCATGTCATTCACAGCCAGATGAAACTCATTGGTAAAAAAAAAACAAAACAAACAGCCTCTTTAAATCAAAATTGTCCTTGGGCATAAATCATTTTGTGCTTAATTGTAATTCACACACGACAACTAATGACACATATGGATATTGTATCACTTATTTAGGGTTTTTATAATTAAAATTAGTTGGGTAGTAACAGGTAGTTGTTGGCAGGTTGTATGGACATGGAGGTAAACGGTTGAAAAATGCTTAAGAAATTTTTTCTGTGATCTTTGTTTCTTTTTCTACCAGACCTACTTCTCACGTCTAATTTTCATGAATGCACCTTATTACTGCAGCTTCATGAGTGTTATCTGTGTTAGTTCACATGCCTGAAAAGTTTCTCATTTCAGCTTTAATAGCAGATGATGAAGATAACACCAAAGCTTGATTAAAACCTTAATATTGAAAGAAAGTCCTGCCAAAAACAACACCTATTAATGTCATTTTTGTTTCTCTGACAGCATCGAGGGGGAGTATGTGCCTATGGAGGGGGACGAGGTCACGTACAAGGTTTGCCCCATTCCTCCCAAGAACCAGAAGATCCAGGCTGTCGAGGTGGTGATCACCCACCTGAATCCAGGCACTAAGCACGAGACCTGGTCAGGTCAGATCATCAGCTCCTAGGCCAGCGCTTCACGCTGCAGAAGGCAAAGAGGATTTGGATTTCATTTTAGGTTTTATGTTTTCGTCGCGTTAAGGGATGGGACCAGGTCCGGGGAAGAGGGATCAGAGCTTGGCGAGCCTGAGGTGGTTTGGGTTATGGAAGGCTTAAGTTTAAAAGTTAGGGGTTGGAAATTAAGCTTTGAATGTATATTTTTGAATGTTTTCCTTTGAAGGTCATGGGTTTATCATTTGGGTTGGAATGTTTTAGTTGAGGGGTTCAAAGTCGGGTTTGGAACGTCGGGGTTCAGGGTTCGGTGCTAGCATTTTTACTTTGACCTGGGGAGTATTTTTCAGTTGAGAAATCAGTGGTTGGTAGAGAAGTGATGTCTTGGATGAGTTGGGATGTATTAGAGGCCAAAATGCATTTTGAGCAAATTTGAAACCATTGAGCCGTATTGACACTCCATGGGCACAGTGCAGGAGAGTTTGAATATCGAGGGACCAGCTCAGTGGTGGTCTGTCATTTACATCCACTTCTGTTTTTGCATTGCGCTCTCAGCTGATATACATCATGTGCCATCGCTGCCAAAAGTCACTGAAAAAAATCCAGCCGAAAGCATACATCTTAGCCATATTGTGTCTGTGTTTACAACAACAGATGGAGTCGAACGAGGATTCAAAGGAGGAAAAAGCACTTTTCTAACAGCCGTCTCTGTTGTTTACAGTGGGCTTGGCTTAACGACAGAGGAACAGCTTGTCAGATCTGCCTTCATAAATTCAAAGCAACGGTTGTTTGACGTGCCACTAAGCTCTACCAAACGAGCGTACTTGCTGTACGCACATTCACGCTCTTAATGCGTTTTGGCCTCGAGAGCTGTGATAAGCTCCACTTATTAGGAATTATTTTCCTTCTTAATATCGTAGCATTACAGTATTTTGTCTACTTGGCAAGTGTAGAAATCCAGTGTTATTGTAGCCAGCTCCTATGACGGTCTTCAGTTTTGGTGGTAGAAGGATGTTGTGAGGGCCTGCCGCTGGAAAACCAGGCCAGAGGGTTTGGGGTTGGGGGAGGAAACCGGAGAGGGGAAGAGGGTCGGGGAAGAGGATGGAGTGATAATCTGTAGAGGTAGTTGAGCACTGATGCAGCAAGATTTCAAGTGTTATAAAGCAAGTGGAAGGAGGAGGAACAAGATTAAAGTCAGCAGTTCTCAAACTGAAGGTCATCTGGAGAAGCTAGTGATCTTTGACATTTTGGGAAATACGCTAATTTTCTTTTTTGCCGAGAGACAACTCATATCACGCATGTCTGTGTGGAAAATAAGAAGATAGGGCCTGCAGCCAGTTAGCTTAACTTAGCATAAAGACTGTAAACATGGGGAAAGCCTGGCAATTACTTAATCTATACAACAAACAGCACTGTCTTTGTAGGGTCATTCCATCTCAACACATTTATAGAACAGTTTCTACTTGACCAGCTCTCATTTGCCTGAAACTTCTATCTCATAAAATATGGATATTTAAAACGTATCTGTGAAATTTTAGCTTGATATGTCAAATAATTTCTGAGATAAACATATTTTTTAAATTGTCTGTCAACCTACTTTCAGCACTTTTTTTCCACACATTAATATTTGAGGTTGTTTGAACTACAATATCTCAGGAAATATTAAAGATAAAAGCCTGAAATTTTCACTGTTATTTCTCATCATGTCATTGATTCTGAATCTGTAATATTGTATTGACAAGTAGAATAAACAATCTCTGATTATGGTTGCATTGAAACATATGGAATACTTTTTGACATTAGTACTAAGTCGCAGAAAGTCACAAAAATATTTAAGCTGCTGATTGAGCAGTTGTACCACAAAACAATTTAGTTGGACCGCCTAACATAGTTCTGAAGTCTCAACGTAGTTCTCCAAATATAATTGAGAAATTATTATTCTTTAAATAGGGTCATACTTTTCAGATCTTTTTTTTTTGTTAGCTAATCAAACTTCAATGCTTGAAAAATGTGCTGAAAGTGGGATGACTTGCAATTTAAAAACAAACATCAGAAAGTATTTCTTATATCAATCTGAAATTTCACAGGTAACATTTTAAATATCTATAGTTTATGATGAAAAACGTTTCAAGCAAATGAGAGCTGGTCGAGCAGAAGATCTCTGATGATTTGAGTGAATGAGCCTGTAGCTTGTTGTGTTGCCATAAAATTGTCAATTTGAAATAAACTTTTGAAATATTGCAAAAATAAAAAAATCAATAAAGGAAATGTGCATTAGGCTTGTTTCCATCACCTACTTTGGAAGGAATGAACTCAGCTGTGTGGTGTCGTCAGAAGATGGCAGTGTAGACCGAGTTACACATGACTGTAATAAACAGAGTAGAAGAAGCTGGAAATAAAAGCAATAGTTTGCCAACCACTGAAAAAACCTTGATAGAGAAAAAGAAACAAATAAAATGGATCACCATCTATGAGAGAGAAATGTAGAGAAGTCTTCAGGAATTGTTTTAAGTTGGGAAAGTTGTAGTTATTCTTTTATGTCAGTTGGTTTTGGCCACATTTCAGGTTCTCTGGAGACAAAAATAACAAAAGAAGCAGAAACATCTGATCAGTCGTGTGAGATAAACGTTTGCTTCATCAGAACTTACTCACAAAAGGTGTTTCGATGAATGTGATCGTTTCCAAAATAAAGTGCATTAACACTTTATTGAAATAATCAAAAACCACCTCAAGCGAGCGTAAACTTTTATTTTTTTCAAAACTGAACATGTTTTTTCAAATGTTGTCATTTCTATCAATCTTTTCTAACGCAACACTTTAAAATGCACATGAATAGATCTCATGGAAACATGGCTTATGAACGAGTAGCCGTGTTTCTATAAGATCTATTTATGTGCATTTTGAAGTGTTGCGTTAGAAAAGATTGATAGAAATGACAACATTTGAAAAAACATGTTCAGTTTTGAGGAAAAAATTGCTCATGCTCACTTGAGGTGATTTTTGACTATTTCAGTGAAGAGCTAGTGCACTTTGTTACGGAAACAATCACGTTCTTTGAAACATCTTTTTTGAATAAGTTCAGATGAAGCAAACATTTAGCTCACACGACTGATCAAATGTTTCTATTTCGTAGTTTTTCTCATCTCCAGAGAACATAAAATGTGTCCAACACCAACTGACATGAAAGAATAACTCCAACTTTCCAGAATAAAAAACTATTCCAGAAGACTTCTAGCAGTTCTTGTCTCATAGACGGTGGCTGATTTTGTTTGTTTCTTTTTCTTCATTAAGGTTTTTTCAGTGGTTGGCAAACAACTGCTTTTATTTCCAGCTTCTTCTACTCTGTTTATTACAGTCATGTGTAACTCAGCCTACACTGCCATCTTCTGACGACACCACACAGCTGAGTTTATTCCCTCCAAAGCAGGTGATGGAAACAAGCCCAATGCACATTTCCTTTTTCTAAACATTTTTTCTTTTTCTTTCTTTGCAACATTATAAAGGTTTGCTTCAAACTGACAATTATAGGGCAACAAGAAGACACTGACGTTTTCATTTAAAGTGTTTCTACTCAGAGTTCAGGGCAGACATTGTGCTGTAACAGTTGCATCCATATGGACGGATGAACTTGGCTCAAGTAGGGACTCGTATAATTTGGCTATTTGTTGTTTTCCATTTTGAACACAACAGTTTTGCTCCTGGTTTCTTGTTATTATTTTTCTGGGGTGTTAGGACAGAAATCCAAATTGACTTCCTGTTTAATTCCAGGTTTAAACTCTTGCATACAGACACAAAAGAAGTTCTTTTCTTTTAACTCGACATGTAAGCAAATAAGCGTATTTCCTAAAATGTTGAACTATTTCTTGACATCATTTATGTAAACCAGAAAAGATCCATTCCAAGTTTTTTCAATTTTATTTCCTTGAGATAAATGACTCCCTCTTGTGAAATACAGCATTTGCACTCTGTTTTCTTTTTCTAACTATCAATCAAATAAGCTGAAAAAGAAAATCCAGAATGAGGAGGAAGAACTGCTGATTTTTAGTCGGAAGACTGAAGGTTTAAAAAGTTTCAAACGTCACGGCAAACGACTGTGAAAAATAAAAAAAAACTGAGCAGCAAAAGCTTCCAGATGTACGTTTTGAAAAAAAAAAAGAAACTATTTATTTATTGACTTATTTATTTTCATTTATAACTACAAGAACATCAGGTGTTTGGTAATTAAAAGCTGCATTTATAAGTATTTGTGCAAATCGAAGCCTGTTTGAAACACTGCACACCTCACTCTAATGATACTACCCTGTTAAAGTCCCTTTGCTACTGTCACGCCACCATCGACAGGCAAAAAAAAATTAACTTTTCCTGAACACGAGTTTCTAATTTCTACATGATTCTTGTCTAATTTTTAATACCTGTGATGTTCAAAATAACAAGCAGTTTTGTTGTTTTGGAAATCGGCATGTTCTGTGCTGTTTGTCGTAATTTTTTTCTGTAGAACGTGTTCCTTCTGTTTGGTCATGCAGTAACGGCCTTCAGAGAGGCGTCGTCAGGTCTCCTATGCATCTTTGATTTCTCGCCACGAGTGCGACCTAACATCATCGTAGCACACTGCAGCTGTTCGGTTTCTTTACTGTGAGAGGAACAAGTCGGATTGTGTTCGCGAGCACTTTCATTTGTTTTATTTTTTTTTATTTTATTTTTGTCAAATCACTGTGACACTTGTCTTTTGTCGTTAAGAAAAAGTTTGAATAAAACTTACTACTGTATTCACAGACCTGTGTGCCGGCGTGTTTGTGTAATAGAGAGCGAAGACCTCTGTTTTCAGTTTCTCTGTGCTCCTTGCTGGTGTTAGAACAAAGTGGACTAACTAGGGCAGTTATTTTGAGAGCTCTTTTAACTTAGAAAAACTTTTTTGCACTGAGCTCTGCCACACAAATCTGTGTGCGATTTTGGGAAAGATTGTTGATTTATGTCCATATTCTGCCTATTAGGAGGGCATCTCTGCACAAATAATCTGCTGGTAGATAGATGACTGTCTTTAGTGGGTTTAAAACACATCGATATGTGAATAAAGCCATGAGTAAAACCATCACAGGACACATAAATGC